ATAGTATTAGTCAGCCAATGGTATTTTGGGAAACACGTTAATTTAACTATGGGTTAGTTGCAGGCAGATGCCTAACTCTAAGGTAGGTCAGCAGCTAAGAATTCGAAGTAACTAACCCTTGAATATTAGATCAGAAGCTAGTATCAGTTTATGTACGTAAATATTAGTTAGGGAAACCCCAGTGAATTCAGAGTCTTTCAAGGTGTAGGCTGGGGATACTAACTTAATTTAACTACTTGCAGGAATTATTTCTTCTCAGCACATGGCATCTTAAAGAGAGAGAAGTCAGTAGGAGGAATCAGGGGGTTTCTAGCTAGTATAGACTCCACAATACAAGTAAGTCTGTTCTAGTTTGTGCATGGAGACAGGAATTTCTGGCAGGATAGATAACTCTCAAAAGTGTAGCCTAGGGGGGTACTTGTGAGAACAGGACTTGCAGAGTCTTGTGTTATCTGTGTCAACAGTAATTGCTAGAGTAGGCATCTCACAAGTTTCCACAATGGAGTTACATTCTGACAAACCCATCATAAATCAAAAATGCTCTATGTCAAATATGAACATATGATACAAATAAACAGTAAATAAATTACTTTAACTAAGTAAATAAACAAATAATTGCCATAACTAAATGCCAGTATTCAAAAGTAAATAAATGAATACAAGTTACCAACTTGCCACCTTCATTTTAGGTAATTATCTTAAATTTCATCTCCAAAGTAATTGCTTTTGCACACATCGTAATGTCAAAATATCGTAAGTCAAACCATTGTAAGTCAAGGAGCATCTGTATTCTGTAAAAAGGAACCTGCATTACTTTCTTATAAATTACAGGAGAACCAGAGCTTTAATACAAAGGTTCTTGTGTCACTCCCACTTGTGCAAGACTGTCTTAAGACTGGTATTATTATTACAATAAAACTAAGTATGTACTAAACCTACAGGGTCATATAGCTCTCCAAAGACTGATCACATCTGTGTCAGTTTAGTTCTTCAACTATTTTGAGTAGGGGTGTGCCAAAGTATCGGTATCAGCTCATTTTGGTATTGTCACAGGTATCAGGTTTTGCTAATTTTGGTAGTATCAGCATCGGCAGATTTTGATGGTATTGGAACTGGTATTGGCTAATTTTCATGGTATCCATATTGGCTGATTTTTACTGTATTGACACCACTATCAGCTCACTTTGATGGTATTGGCACCAGTATCAGCTCATTTTACTGGTATTGTCACTGGTATCAGATAATTTGAGGGAATCACCACCTGTATGAGTATCGGCTACTTTTGATGGTATCTATATCAGCCTAACACTTGAGTATCAGTACCATTACTGGCCGAACATTTTAGTGTTGTCCCATCATTACTTTCAAGTATTTCATTCAAACTCCTGTATTTCTGAGTGCTAGCACACTGTGTTCTCAGCTAAAACGTGTTCTTGTCTTGTTTAAACATTTTGTTGTGTGTGTTGTATGAACCTGTTTTGTACATGTAAAAGAGTAAACAGTTTATTGCTTGCTCTTCGATTTATAATTATTATAAAAGCATAGAGTACAATGGAGTCATTAATATGACTTATGAAATTATAATGACAGTGGCTTATGTGTTGGCCTGGAGTTTTATGACTCACTCGCCATGAGCTCAGTCCTCACCCATGGTAAGGCTTTTTTGAGCCTTTAACCCTTTCAGGGTCCAGAGGCCAAATTTCAAAGTGTGCACCAGGGTCCAAGAATTTTCAAAAAATAATTTTGTTATTTTTTCTTATGAAATGGTAGAGAATCTTTTTCTGAAGGTAATAAAACAAAAACTAGGAAATTTGATGGAAAATTGACGAAATTATGCTCTCGTGAATTTTGATGTGTCGGATTTATGCAGCAGCGATTTTGCTGACTTTGACTCCCATTTTAGGACAATTACAGTATTCCAGTCAACCAAATTCTTAGCTATTTCACTAGTATTACTTCTATTCTATCGACTGAGCACAAGAAATCGCCAAGTCAATTGTTTCAACAACAAAATAAAGTAACCGGAAATTGGTAATTTGGCCAATTTAACGCAAAGTTCAAAATATTCCAATTTCAAAATAGGGTCCAGAGTAAACAATGCAGGCATTCCTGGCACTAAACTAACATTTCCTCTGTTCATTAGTTATGTTTTCAGGCTTTACAAATGAGTTCCATTTTGATTTTTTATTCACATAATGAATTTTTATTCAGACTAAAAAATAGATGATTTACTGATATGCAATACTGTAACAATTGTATAAATAATATCACCACATTTGTGAATGTATATTAGACCCACCAGCTGTTATGTATTAGACTTGTGAGGTCATTTGTTTACTCTTGAACATCGGCAAAAATTTAACATTTCTGCTACTTTGAGCTCAGTTTCAAGCCATTTCCAGTGCTAAAACCAATCAAAATCATCACTATTTCTGTAGTATATCTTCCATTCTATCAGATGAGACCAAGAAATTGCAAATACAATTATAAAAAACGTACGAAAAACACTGCAAAGTCGCTGTCTTAATCGAAAATTGCAGTCTGTTTTTAATCTCTCTCATTATACACTGTGTGCTGCAGGATTTGTTTTATGTGATGCACACATACCACATAGATGTATTCTCTCATATCTAGGCCCAAATTTACTGCTCACAGCTTATCAGAGTAAGCTGAGCTCATGGCGTAGATTTACAGTTTGGACCCTGAACGTAAAGCCGTAGATCTACAGCGTGGACCCTAAAAGGGGTTAATATCTCACTAAACTCAATGTTGCATAGAACCCATGTAGCATAAAACCTATGTAGCATAAAGCTTACGTAGCATAAAACCTATGTAGCATAAAGCTTACATAACATAAAACCTATGTAGCATAAAACTTACATAGCATAAAACCTATATAGCATAAAACTTACATAGCATAAAACCTATGTAGCATAAAACCTATGTAGTATAAAACTTATGTAGTGTAAAACCTGTGTAGCATAAAACCTGTGTAGCATAAAACCCATGTAACACAAAACTCATGTAGCATAAAACCTATGTAGCATAAATCCTATGTAGCATAAAACCTATGTAGCATAAATCCTATGTAGCATAAAACCTATGTAGCATAAATCCTATGTATCATAAAACAGCTGCCAGTAATATTTTTAATTTTTGAAGAGTAATTCTTCTACATACTAGTAAATATGTTGGTAACAGTATGAGAAAGAAGCTTGTTACATATTGTTGTGGTATTGATGAGGGTGATGTGAAGTGATTGTTGTGGAGGGAAGAGGAGGTGATTGTGAAGGAAGTGACTGTGGTCGTGGAGGGAGATGATGAATGGATAAGGTTGGTGTTGGTACTCACCTATATGTGGTTTCTGGGTCAAGTCTTAGCTCCTGGCTCTACCTCTGAACTTGCCACTTGCAACATTTACTCCTTCCTAGTCTCATGGGCCCTATCATACCTGCTCTTAAAGCAATGTATGGAGTCTGCCTCCACCACTTCCTTGCTGAGATCATTTCACTTCCCAACCACCCTAAGACTAAAAAAATACTTCCTGACATCCCTGTAACTCATCTGTGTCTTTAACTTCCAGCTCTGCCCCTGAGTACCTGTTTATTACTTTTCAAACAGTCTGTCAGTCCTATCAGTTCCTCCAAGTATTTTGTATGTTATCATGTCCCCATGAGCCTTCTGCCCTCTGGTGTCATTGGATTCAATTTAGTTAACCTCTTGTCATAGGCCATACCCCTTAGCTCTGGAACTAGTCTTGTTGCATACTTCTGCACTCTAATTCTAAACTTAGTTCCTCAGGTGTGGGTTCCATTCTGGTGCTGCATACTCCTAGATGGTCCTGATCTATGTTGTATACAGTGTTTTCAGATTCCTGAAGGCCACTCTCTGATTTGCCAGGCGAGCATTGGCAGCAGAGTCTATTCTGTGGATGACAGCCTCTGGTGATATGATTTGATGAGGTCTGCAGCCTGTTTCCCCTAGTCTATAGTTCATTTCCAGTTTTCTGGCTAATTCCGTAATCTTCATAACCTTGCATCTGCTAGTGTTTCATTCAAGCAACCATTCAGCTGACCAATCCTGTAGTTTATCCAGATCCATTTGTAGCCTTTTATCACCTTTGTCTGTATTCTCTTCATTAGTTTTACAATGAGGAGAAAGTGGAAGGAGACCAATCCCTTTTTCAGTCACCTCTTTAGACACACCTCATACAATAGAACATCTCATATGACATATCCACCGTGGCCCGGTGGTCTGGTGGCTAAAGCTCCCGCTTCACACACGGAGGGCCCGGGTTCGATTCCCGGCGGGTGGAAATTCCGACACGTTTCCTTACACCTATTGTCCTGTTCACCTAGCAGCAAATAGGTACCTGGGTGTTAGTCGACTGGTGTGGGTCGCATCCTGGGGGACAAGATTAAGTACCCCAATGGAAATAAGTTAGACAGTCCTCGATGACGCACTGACTTTCTTGGGTTATCCTGGGTGGCTAACCCTCCGGGGTTAAAAATCCGAACGAAATCTTATCTTATCTTATCTTACCTAGCAGCAAAGTGTATGTGGAAACTTAATATGACTTAAAAACAATGAAAGGTTAACCAAGCACCAAAAGCTTATTAAAACAGTAGTAGTCTTGACCACACTCACTATCAGTGTTCTTGTACTCACACAAAAGTTTCTTACCAAAACAAATACCAACTTGATGAATAAGACATGTGCAACATCTGGCTATGTATTCTACTCTCCTCAGTGTTATATACACTTGTTAAACAGAACATTTCAGGAAGATTAGATCAGTTTAGTCCCAGGATGTGACCTACACCAGTCTACTAACACCCAGGATGTGACCCACACCAGTCCACTAACACCCAGGATGTGACCCACACCAGTCCACTAACACCCAGGGTGTGACCCACACCAGTCCACTAACACCCAGGATGTGACCCACACCATCCACTAACACCCAGGATGTGACCCACCCAGTCCACTAACACCCAGGATGTGACCCACACCAGTCCACTAACACCCAGGATGTGACCCACACCAGTCCACTAACACCCAGGATGTGACCCACACCAGTCCACTAACACCCAGGATGTGACCCACACCAGTCCACTAACACCCAGGATGTGACCCACACCAGTCCACTAACACCCAGGATGTGACCCACACCAGTCCACTAACACCTGGGTACCTGTTTTACTGATACACGAACAGGGACAGCAGGTGTCTTAGGGAAACACTTGACTGAGTAGCCAGTTGTTCAGGCAAAATATTTTGGCAATAAAGATAGTGTATAATAATAATATGATACAAATACTAACTGCTTCTCTTAATCATGTGAAGTCCACTATCAGATCCATACTTTTTAAACATGCAGCAAGCATAAATATTAGAAAAATGGGCAGGACATGGGAATGACACAGTGACATGGACATTACAAGCACGTCTTTAACCTGAGTGGTCAGGAAGTTGAATGATTTAGATGAGCTGATGAAAACAAACACTGTTCATAGCTTTAAGCATAGGTATGATGGGGCCCATGAGGTATGCAGGAAACAAAACCAGTGGTATGCAGTAAATAGGCTGGGTCAGAAGTAGAGGGTGCGCCAAAATATCGATATTAGTGGGTATAGCTAAATTTTGATGGTATCGTCTTACAGCTAGGTATTGGTATCAGTTAATTTTGATGGTATCTGCTTGCAATTGAGTATCAGTATTGGCTAATTTTGATGGGATCAGCATTGGCCTAAAACTGAGGGTCAATATTGGTACTAACAAAATTTTTGACATTGTCCCATCACTGGTCAGAAGTGGGGACTCTGCCTCATTATTCACAAAAATCTTTGTAAAAAGTATCCTGTTAATCTGTGCTCTCCCCAGCAATTCATTTACACATTTTACTAACCCTATTTCATTGTTAGGGTTTATTTGACAGCTGCAACATAACCCACTGGCTTCCTCAGGTAATCCTAGGTAATCCAAAAAGGAAAACACATTCATCAGCATTTATTCAGTTGCATTTTTCCCGAAGTGTGCTGATATCGCACTTGGATTACCCTCTGACTGCAACTTCCTCACCCATCATCATTAATGATTAAAATTCATGTGCTGTAACCTATTTCACTATTTGTTAGCTTAAGGTTTGCCTAAAGGATTGAGTAATACTGTACAGAGGTTACAAAAATAGGTATTAGTTATGTAATGAATGAACATGCCAGTAGACTGTATATTTGTAAATAAAAAGTTTGTATGATAGTGGTGTTTATTCTTCAGGAAACAATAATGTCTCCTGACAGGAGTCCTGATCAGATGATGACCCATCATTGGGTAAGCATCTGCTGGCACACCCCAGCTAGGTTTTACATCCATTTAAAAAACAAAGATTAAAATATTAAAGATTTTATTTCTTTGCAAAGGCTACAATATGTAGGGATATATGTATTAAAGGTAGGGATATATATATTAACCCTTAAATGGTCCAAACGTATATATACGTTTTTTCAACATCTGAAAGTACGTAAAAAAAATGTAGATCTCTTTTGTTTTACATTTGAAAACGTGTAAAAAACCCCTTTTATCTATATTTTTTTTTATTATATTTGAAAATATGTAAAAAAAAGTAGATCTACTTTTGTAGCACTACGAATTTGAACGTCGATCCGTTTGGACCGTTTAAGGGTTAAAGAGTGGTATAGGGTAAGGAGTGTTGTTTGGGGTGCATAGTATCGTATCTTGGAAAGGCTGCCTACTGATTTGGAAATTTTCTTGGGTATATGCTGGAAGTGGAAATGAAATTTAAGATTACAGTCAAGGAGAAGACTAGGAATTTACCCTCAGTGTATCCTAAGATAACCATATGCATATTCTAAGGATTTAGGGACCTGAATTTCCATGACCCACAATTACATTCTGACCTAACAGAGTGGTTGTCAAAGAGTGTGTATACTTAGGACTGACTTTTTTGAAATAGAAAGCTGCATGACTCACAAGATCATAATGTAATATCAAACAAACCACAGAACAGGTGGGCTTTGATCCCATGGCAAGTGAGTTTTAGGACTCACCATGGGTTGAACCCCCACCCATTAATCATCTGGAATAACAGCTTGCACACGTGTGGGATAGTTAAGGCTGTAAACCTGTGTTACTTGGCTACGAAAAAAAACATTCACTATCGTCTCTTTGGAAATCCACTCATAGTCCCCATGGAATCCTTGCAGTACCAGGATGATGATGAATTGCATGCAATGCATGGGTGTCTATCTGAAGATGTTTTGGCAACCAGGGGCTTAAATGAGTGTCAGTGCTGTATGACCCTAGTGAGTTTAGTGCTTAGTTTTGTTAATAATAATAAAAGAATATGCAGATTATTTACAAAAACACTAGAGTTTGAGGTAACCAGTCTCTCAGCCTGGCAGAACTATACACATAAGATAATGGAAGATGAAGTAATCAATTCTTCAACCTTGAAGGCAGTGTTCAGTACCTTAGTCTTAATTACTAGACTAAGGGTCTTATTACCTCCTCTTTTACTGTCTTACCTGTCATCTGTGTATCCATAAAGCTACCAGTTGGCAAAAATGCCTTCAAGGAAAGATACTCAGTTGTTGCACATGCCTTGCATCAAATCTGATCCCCCCCCCTTTCCTTCCATTCCCCTTGTGTTGTATGCCTCCACTGCACTGTATGACCTTGTATGTTTATATTATAATGTATGCTTCCTACAGGTTTAGTGCTTCCCCATGAAAACAATAATCCATAAAAGAATTAGCCTTCATTAACAATGTAACTGAAGGAATACTTCAGGCTTGGCATGTCTTCACTATTGCCATCAGTTTCGTACTTTAATCCAGCCAATGTTTACACATAACATTAGGTAGCTCTATATATTAACTTTGTAATTTTCTTCTATGAGGTTGGAAAATACAATGTTCTAAAACAGTAGTTTAGAAAAAAAAATTAGAATCATATACTCTTAAGGTTAAATACTAACAAGCTATGAATTATAAATATAAATTTTGATTTCTTTTTTATGGTGCCCCATGGCCTGGTGGCAAAAACTCTTGCTTCACACAGTAAGGGTCTGGGTTCGATTCCCAGTGAAGGGGTGGAAACATTGGGCGTGTTTCTTTACACCAGCTGTCTATGTTCACCCATCAGTAAAATGGGTACCTGGGTGTTAGTCAACTGGTGTGGGTCACATCCTGGGACAAAACTGACCTAATTTGCCCAAAATGCTCAGCATAACAAGGGACTTTCTATATACAGTGGAACCTCTACTTACAAGTTTAATCCATCCCATGACCTTGCTCGCATCTGGATTTGCTCGTTTACAGAGTCAATTTTCCCCCTTTAAATTAACTGAAATGGAATTAATGCGTTCCGGTGGAATTCCAGGCATGACAGAATATTTCATTATTTCCCTAATATCAACTCTACAGCTCATTTATCTATCACAGTTCATCTAATATGACATAATAAACAATATTAATAACAGACACATGATATATATGCTAGAACGAATAAAATACATGTCATTACGTATGTGGCTAGTGATGGTGACAGCGGCCATTGTTGTTGTTGGGGTTTATAGGGCCACCACAGCGGCCATTCCTGCTCCTGACTACATGTGTAGAGAACCTAGGATAACCCAAAAAAAGTCAGACAGAGTGACTTATAATCGCTACTCTCTTAATGCTACACTTAATTGCTACACTCTTAATGCTACACTTAATTGCTACACTCTTAATGCTGCACTTTGTCACTGACTCCTGCTTTCGTATTGTACATATTGTAGAAGTGGTACACTGGTACTACCTGGCCAAATCTTTAACCCTCCACCTAGTTTGTTTATCTATTATTTCCTGCTTTATTTCCATGGAAATCATCCTCTTTTTCTTCTCAGCACTGTCTTTTGCACTTGCTTTCTTAGGATTCATGGTTAGAAGCAAGAAATAACTGCACGAAACATAAGAAAAACACGAGAATTCCCTCCACTGAGAGTGGAGTGGACTGAGCATTGTTGTGATACATACTGCCAGCTCATGGTGGCATTTGGAAACTCACTTATAGTATTGGGTACAACAAGGTTGCTACCAGGGTACAACAAGGTTGCTACCAAGGTACAACAAGGTTGTTTTCGAGGTACAAGGTCTGCCATTGCTGCTTCATATTGTCTGCCACTGCTGCTTCATGATGTCTTCAACTGCTGCTTCATATCTACCACTGCTACCTCATGTTGTCTGCAACTGCTACTTCATGTCTACCACTTTTGCCTCATATTGTCTGCCACTGCTGCTTCATGTTGTCTGCCACTGCTACCTCACAATGTCTGCTCCCACTTTTGCTAGAGTGTTGAAGAGCTTTCCAATATGTGAAGGTTGAGGGGCAGTGCCAATTGGACAAGTATTGGACGGTGACATCATTTGTTTATTCTTGAACAGTGCCAAAGAGTCGAACATTTCTGCTACTTTGAGCTCAATTTCAAGGTACTTTTCATCATGAAACCAATTAAAATCATATCTATTTCTGTAGTATATCTTCGATTATATTAAATGAGACCAAAAAACAAGAATACAACCATAAAAACCACGCAAAAATATACTGCTAAGGGAAGGCTAATGGCTGAAAAGTGAACTCCATTATTTAAGGTCCAATTTCTTTCAGTTTTGGTGTATGTTAAGAAGCATCTTTCCATCATACATTGCCCAAGTTTCAATAAGATAGTCCAACAAACAACTAGATCAAGAGCAAGAGCTCCTCACCAGTGTCAAGGAACCTCCCTTGAGGCCCACTCACATCCGGAAATTTTGCTCATGTCTGGAAGCAAAAAATCAACTAAGTGACTGCTCATATCTGGAAAAGCTCGCATGTTGGGGCACTTGTAAGTAGAGGTTCCACTGTAATAGTATGTCATTGATGTCAGCCATGGTCTGTATATCTTGTACATGTACTTGTAGAAATAAAGATATTATTATTATTATTATTATTATTATTATTATTATTATTATTATTATTATTATTATTATTATTATTATTATTATTATTATTATTACAAAAGTAATGTAGTTTACCTGTAATAAAACAATGTTAGGCACAAAAGAAAGCCACTGATATGCAATGCATTTCCAGCAAACTAATCCTAATGTCATGATGGTATGAAACAATTTATTGCAAAGAAGGCTAAAATGAATAACAACAATGAATGGCATAACAGAGAATAAAACAATCTGCATTAACTGCAGCCCCACATTACCCTGCCCATACAAATAAATTTTTATTTATGGGGTACAAAAATAATGTAGTTTACATGTAATAATATGCTGTCAGGCACAAAAAACAGCCACTAGTGTGCAATGCATTTCAGGCAAACTAATTTTAATGCTTCAAGACTATTTAAGAATTAGACATAGACTGTTAAGTAGGATTTCTTATGCAGTTAATAACTGTACACCATAAAATGACTTTCAGGTTTAGCATTCCCCATGAATAAATAATTTTAACATGATGGCCAGTTTTCCCTGAGGGAGAGTGACTCCAAGATGGTTCACGTGTCGTGTACATATGCAGTATTGAAAAGTGAGGAATTTTAATACAAGACTCAAGAAAATACTCAATCATTCAGCAGTTAATACCAATGGTGCTTTTAAAAAAAAACTAACAGAATGGAAACCTTTTATAAGACAATGATTCACAGTAGAGACCAAATTTTTTAAGCTTCTTCTTATACACTTATATTTTCCAGTCACTTTCATATGGGATTGTAGGAGAGCACAGAGAATAATTATCACTCTGATACCACTAGTAACAGCCTTTTAATCTCTTCCACATTAATGATATCTGAGAACACATCTAAGCTACTTAAGAAAAGCACAAGTTTCACCATCTAATAACATGGTCATTTTTTGTTTATAATCAACCTGAGCTTTGCTCAGACCTCTGCAACATAGTTATCCTTGAAGATTTAAGTCAGACAATGAATTAAGGAAAGATCGTAGACTTCACCTTACAAAAGCAGACAAAGCAAATGCACTAGTAATTATAGAAAAGGTAGATTATAGTGCAAAAATTAACATGTTACTAGGAGACAGAGAAACTGACGCCCTCCTTAAGAATAGTCGGTTACATTACCTAAAATCATCCCCACTATTGTCAAGAATATTACTAGAAATGTGAGGATTAATACTAACCTCAAGGAGTTAGTTTAATGACTTTATACTATCTTTATTAATCACCTCATTCCCATGGTGTGGGCAGTAGTCAAAATATTACAGAGGCACATCATGGGACTGGGCATCAATGTTACAGTGTTAGTTTAATTAGTTTAATATATTTATTATGCACCCCATACCCATCCAGTGGGCAGTAGTCAAAAGATTACAGAGGTACATAATGAGTCCAGGGACTGGGCCCCAAAGTTTTGATAGCTGAACTAGTTACAAAGGTAATGAACTCCAGGTAGATCTGGTCACAATCATGACAAGTTATAAAGGTATTTGCAGCTTACAGAGGTACATAATGGGTCCAGGGACTGGTAATGAACTGTTTACATATTTATATCTGGTTACAATCATAATGAGTTATTTATGCACTCATCAATTAGGTCACACACAAAAAAAATACAAAAACATTACCTTATATTTTAGCATGGTATGCCTGAAATAAAAAGTGTTTATGTGGTTATACATTATTTACAGCGGCAATAATGCATAACCATTTAATCCCCCCTAAGGATAATGCAACACTAATTATGTAGATACATTTAGCATAAACTAATTATAAGGTTTACCAACTGCTTATATCTAGACCTAGAATAAAATTTAAGTTGGTATAACTTGGGTAATTCATTATAATCATATGTACTATGAGACAGGTTGCAAGTGAAGAATTGGTCAATTACATCAGTTCAATGACCTGCATGTTATGATGTGGTTGAACTGGGGTGTTGAAATCAAAGCATTTACAGACAGCCAATGGATATATCATATATGTAAGATTTAATTGGCACTTTTTAACAAAACCAAGATGTTGGCAGATGGGAAACTTTCGGAATTTTCAGGCAGAAAGTTCTAAATTTTAGAGCCTTTTATCTGCATGGAGTTTTATTTGAATAGATTGAGTCAACCATGTAGAATGTCAGAAAGATACTTGTTCTATGTATTGTGAAAATGTGTTCTATTGTAACTCTGCAAATAGAATTTAAGCTCTGGGTTAATGTTTGTATTGAGTGTCCTATAGATATAACTGACACAGTAGAAAGTGTGAATATTGTGTAGGTTGATTAAATCTAGACTTTGGAATAAGGGGGATGTGTTGTCTGGAGCTTAAATGAGTAATAATGCTGAGAGCAGATTTTTACTAAGTAACAACATTTTTAAGGTAACAATATGTTGTTGTTGCCCATATGTGAAGTATGGAGAGATCAGAGAGTAGTTCAAAGTGATCAGGGATGTTTGGAGCACATAATAGTGCATTTCTGAGAGAATGCCCACTGTTCTAGAAATTTTATTAGAAATGTTCTTCTCTCTATAGATTTGAAAAGCTTGGTTCCCTTCACAAAACATTATCTCGATAAAGGTTTTCACTCTCTATAGATTTGAAAAGCTTGGTTCCCTTCACAAAACATTATCTCGATAAAGGTTTTCACTGCCATAAAGTGTTTTCGTTAAACCTATGAAAGATATAGGGCAATACAGTTTAACCAATATTTTGAAATATACTATAAGTATATATGTACAGAAATAATTTTTTGTAATAAAAAGATAAATTTATTTTTTCTTTTACTCACCAAAATTAACAAATAAAACAATATTGACTAGATTTCTGCTTGCTGCATGATCCAAGGAAGGTATCAACTTCAACCCTCTGTACCTCAACTCCAGCAGGAAGCCTAGTAGCTGTACCTCAACTCCAGCAGGAAGCCTAGTAGCTGTACCTCAACTCCAGCAGGAAGCCTAGTAGCTATACCTCAACTCCAGCAGGAAGCCTAGTAGCTGTACCTCAACTCCAGCAGGAAGCCTAGTAGCTGTACCTCAACTCCAGCAAGAGACCTGACAGCTGTAGATGAATGGTTCAGAGAACCGACACGTTGATTAATTAGACACGTGCAATTTATCACATGTCTAATTTATCACCTGACAGCTGTACCTCAACTCCAGCAGGAAGCCTAGTAGCTGTACCTCAACTCCAGCAAGAGACCTAACAGCTGTACCGTGACTCCAGTAGGAAGCCTAGTAGCTGTACCTCAACTCCAGCAAGAGACCTAACAGCTGTACCTCGACTCCAGTAGGAAGCCTAGTAGCTGTACCTCAGCTCCAGCAGGAGACCTAACAGCTGTACCTCAACTCCAGTAAGAGACCTAGCAGCTGTACCTCAACTCCAGTAAGAGACCTAGCAGCTGTACCTCAACTCCAACAAGAGATGTAGTACTCCATAGCTGGAGTATACCTAGAGAGGGTTTTGGAGGGCCAACGCCCCAGTGGCCTGGTCTGAGACCAAGCCTCATGGTGGATTAGGGTCTGATGAACCTGGCTGTTACTGCTGGCTGCACATAAACCAACATACAAACCACAGCCTGGCTGATCAGCTACCGACTTTAGGTGCCCGTCCAGTGCCCTCTTGAAGACAGCCAGGGGTCTATTGGTAATCCCACTTAAGTATGCAGGGAGACAGTTAAACAGTCTTGGGCCCCTGACACTTATTGTGTTGTCTCTTAGCATACTCGTGGTGCCCCTGCTTTTCACTGGGGAAATATTGCATTGCCTGCCATTTTTTTTGCTTTTGTAGGGAGTGATTTTCATGTGCAAGTTTGGTACTAATCCCTCTTAAGATTTTCCAAGTGTATATTATCGTGTATCTTTCTCACCTGCATTCCAAGAAATACAAATCCAGACATTTCAACCATTCCTAGTAATTTAGATGCTTTATCGTATTTATGTGTGCCATGAAAGTCCTCTGTACATTCTTCAGGTCAGCAATTTTGCCTGCCTTGGAACAGGCCATTAGTATACAGCAATATTCCAGCCTCGAGAAAACAAGCGATTTGAAGAGAATCATCAGGGGTTTGGCATCCCTAGTTTTCAAAGTTCTCATTGCCCATCCTATCATTTTCCTAGCAGATGTGGTGGATACATTGTTGTGATCCTTGAGAGTGAGATTCTCTGACATTATCACTCTATGGTCCTTCACACAAGTTTTTTTGCTCTATTGTGTGGTTGTAATTTGTTTATTGTCTGATCCAGTTTTTATTTCCTCGAGTTTTCTAAACTCGAGTAATTAAAGTTTGTTTGGCTTGCAGAAGTGTTGCCGATATATCATTTTTTCTCATTTTTATATTATTTTATATAATTTTTATGTTCTGATAATTACAATTTATTGTAGTTCTTGTCATTTCATAACCAATCTTTGTTCTGACACTAATATTAGGTACTGAAATTGTACTCAAATTGTCGCAAACACATTGATAGGTGGACATATACACCTGCCTTGGTCATTTACTATTGTCTAGGAATAGTATATGCAAAGTATTTATAGGTCCCAGGAATGTTTTGGATACACGGGAGTATAGAAGAAGAAGGAAGAAAGAAGAAATTCCCTTGAAGCAATGTGCAAGACAAGTGTTCAGTGACAAGCATCCGGGAGGGCAGTGATAAGATCAGATATGAGATGACATTTGATGGGCTCCAGGGAGGCTGCAGAGATAAGGGATGACATTGATGAGCATCTGTCTTGCTGTCTTATTTCTCTGTCTGCTTGTCTCTTTCCATCTCTCTGCTTGTCTCTCTGTCTGTCTCAGAGAGAGCCACTGTGAACCAACTGGTATTCTTATGCATTATATCTACAAGCACAGTATAGCACTTCAGATTTTTTAGGTTATCCTAGATAATTTACACTATGTATAATTGTACATGTATTTGTGTGTACCTGTGAGACAGAGACAGATAGACAGAGACAGAGAAGAGACAGATAGACAGAGACAGAGAAGAGACAGATAGACAAAGACAGACAGAGATAGAGACACACAGACAGAAATAGACAGAGACAGATAGAGAAACCCTAAACTTGGGCTTAACATCACTGTGATTCATCTGTGTCTTCAACTTCCAACTGTGTCCCCTTGTTACTGTGTCCAGTCTCTGGAACATCCTGTCTTTGTCCACCTTGTCAATTCCTCTCAGTATTTTGTATGTCGTTATCCTGTCTTCCCTGTCTTCATGTCTTCATGACTTTGCACTTGGTGGGATTGAACTCCAGGAGCCAATTGCTCGACCAGGTCTGCAGCCTGTCCAGATCCCTTTGTAGTTCTGCCTGGTCTTTGATCGAGTGAATTCTTCTCATCAACTTCACGTCACCTGCAAACAGGGACACTTCAGAGTCTATTCCTTCTGTCACAAATACCAGAAACAGCACTGGTCCTAGGACTGACCCCTGTGGGACCCTGCTGGTCACAGGTGCCCACTCTGACACCTCACCACGTACCATGACTCGCTGCTGTCTTCCTGACAAGTATTCCCTGATCCATTGTAGTGCCTTCCCTGTTATCCCTGCTTGGTCCTCCAGTTTTTGCACTAATCTCTTGTGTGGAACTGTGTCAAATGCCTTCTTGCAGTCCAAGAATATGCAATCCACCCACCCCTCTCTCTCTTGTCTTACTGCTGTCACCATGTCATAGAACTCCAGTAGGTTTGTGACACAGGATTTCCCGTCCCTGAAACCATGTTGGCTGCTGTTGATGAGATCATTCCTTTCTAGGTGTTCCACCACTCTTCTCCTGATAATCTTCTCCATGATTTTGCATACTATACATGTCAGTGACACTGGTCTGTAGTTTAGTGCTTCATGTCTGTCTCCTTTTTTAAAGACTGGGACTACATTTGCTGTCTTCCATGCCTCAGGCAATCTCCCTGTTTCGATAGATGTATTGAATATTGTTGTTAGTTATACACATAGCACCTCTGCTCCCTCTCTCAGGACCCATGGGGAGATGTTATCTGGCCCCATTGCCTTTGAGGTATCTAGCTCACTCAGAAGTCTCTTCACTTCTTCCTCGGTTGTGTGCACTGTGTCCAGCACTTGGTGGTGTGCCCCACCTCTCCATCTTTCTGGAGCCCCTTCTGTCTCCTCTGTGAACACTTCTTTGAATCTCTTGTTGATTCCTACAAATTTTCACGTCATTTCTTGTTTCTCCCCCTTTCCTTTCCCCAAACCTGATTACCTGGCCCTTGACGTTTTTCCCCCTGATGTGGCTGCATAACATTTTGGTCAGATTTGGCTTTCCTGCTTGTCTTTTTTCATTTGTCTTGGGGGCCTCCCTTCTTTTCTGTGCATATTTGTTTCTGGCTCTACAATCCCTTTTCTTTTTCCCCTGGGTCCTTTCCCTTCTATATTTCTTCCATTCCCTACACACTTGGTTTTTTTGCCTCCCTCACCTTTGGGTGAACCATGGCTATCCTGGCTTTTACATTATTCCTGTTCCCTTTTGGGGTACAAACCCCCCTCCAGCCCCCTTGTATATTTTGCTACATATTCCATCACTCATTAACGGCTTTCCTCATTTTCTCGTCCCACAAACCCCATTCGGAAGTTCCCATTCCCTGTACCCCCTTTTTCTTTAGTGGGGCTTTTTTCGTCCGGCTTTCCTGTTTTTCCCCCCCCCACTTGTAGCTCTACTGTTATTCAAGCTTAAAACCACATGATCGCTGCCCCAAGGGGTCTTTCTATTTATTTCCTCGATATCTGCACTACTCAAGGTGAATACAAGTCCAGTTTTGCGGGTTTTCTCCTCTCCCTCTCTTTTTGTAGTGTCCCTTACGTTTTGGGTACATAAAGTTTTCCATACAACCTCCACATTTTAAACCCCTCCATGTATCTTGGCTCCCATGTGGCTCCAAGTTCTCCCAATTGATCCCCTTTGTGGTTAAACACCCAGACGGGAGCTTTGCCCTGCATGCATGAGCTCTTCTGGCCACGCAGCCAGTGTGAAACATCGCCTATTGCCTCGTCGTACTCTTCCCCTTGGCCTCCGCTTTTCTGGGGGGTGGTTATACATAAAACGCATTACCCCCTTTGGACCTCCAAGTGAAGCGTTCCCGTATTAATCTTTTTCCCTTCTCCCGCTGTCCCCTCTCTCCAGCTCATCAAAATTCCTTTGGTTTTTGATCAACAATGCCACTCCTCCACCCCCCCTTTTCCCCCTCTTTCCTCGGGACGGATCCCATTGGAAAGAGGCATTTTTTATCAAACCTAAAAGCTGGTTTCTGTGATCGCTATGATTCCGGGATGCCTCTGACTCTTTTTGCCCTCCCCCCATTTTATTTGTTTTTTTTTTTCCATCAGCTTTTTTGTGCCCATACCTTCATTTTCCCTTTTCCAAACACTGGGGTTTTTGGGGGGCCCTGTGGGGGTGGGAAAAACCTGTAGCAACTGTGGGATTCATAGCTCGGTGTTGGGTGGAAGCTGGGGGAAGGATTGTATTTGTGGGACGGTGTGAAAGTTGGGGGGTTCTGGGGATGTTGTGGTTGTTTTCCCCCCATGCGCCTGTTCTGCTCTGACTGATTTTGCGGGTTCCTCCTTGTCTCCTTTCCTAGCCCTTTTCGCTTTTTTGTCCCCCCTCAGCTGCTTCGTTCTTTTTGTTTTCTGTCTCTGTCAGGAAAACCCTCTTGTACCTTCTGAGTTTTTTCAACCGGGTTTTCTTTTGGAGGACCTTTTTCCACCACTGTTTTCCGTCAAAAGAATCAGTTAAATTGGGGTTCGTTTCCCCCCTTCGAGCCCC